AAAGTGGGCGTGGCCCAAACTCTTGGCAGTGGTCCCTCATTCAAATTACACCTGGATGTAACCGAATAGATGTACTGTTCAATATATGAAGCTCCACTCACTCACTCACTCACTCACCGACCCACTCACTCACTCACTCACTCACTCACTCACTCACTCACTCACTCACTCACTCACTCACTCACTCACTCACTCACTCACTCACTCACTCACTCACTCACACCCACTCACTCACTCACTGATTGTCTTATCCGGGGTGATGGGGTGGGGGATGGGTGTTTTAGCCTTGTGGTTCGCTCGTCACGCCGAAGACCCGGGTTCGATTCTCCACATTGGTACAATGTGTCAAGCCCATTTCTGGTGTCCCCAGCCATGATATTGCTGGAATATTGCTAAAAGCGGCGTAAAACCAAACTCACTCACTTACTCACTCTTATCCAGGGCCAACTTGACTTTACAGGCGGTTATTATGTAGCTGACATATTGCTGTCTTTACCAAATCAGCCCAATTTCAGTGTCAGCTATTATCAGTGGATAGCCAACACACACCACATCATTCAGAATATAATTTAGCCAGAACAAAATGGAAAAATCACACTATGATTGTGTTGTTATTTTCAATTACTTTGACTTGATCATCTGACAATGGCCTAGAAGAATATTGGAGGTAAAACTTGGGCAGCTTGCTTCTCAATAACAACAAGACGTGATGAAATTTTCCCTCAGTTCCTCTTTGGGAGAAAATAAGCTGTAATAGCTGTGAGATGACGTTACCAGAAACTGGCAGAAGAGGTCATTCATCAGAACCTGATGAAGCGCCATCTCCCTGAAAGTCATTACAGTTTAGATTCACTGGAACAATTTAATCAGACATTGCACAATTTTAATCACATTTCAAGGACTTTTTATATAGACGGACAGGCATCTTTGTTCCATAACATGAGTAAAAAAGTGTTTTTGAAAAAGATTTGATTTATAATTGAAAATATAATACAGTTCAGTAAATGAATTAAATGTTCTTCTTTACGAAAAGTTGGTTCTGTTTCCTGTCATTTGTTCTAGATTGTAATAAAAGTGAAACATTGATCTTTGGTGGTATGTCAGCTATAAATTCATGAAAGCCAAAAATCTTTGACTGTAAAACATATTCTTGGGTTGTCATGTTGCACCGGGAGCTGAAAACTGTCACACGGTGCTTCACACTTATTGATGCCTTGTGAAAAGACTCAAACAAGGAAAAGTTTCTACTCACAGAACTTCATAACCAACTTCTGAAACAAGCAAGTTCATTCCTGATCTGTCGGATGTATCACGGCCGTATTAAAAATGACAGCGGCTTGTTGCCTAAACTAAACAACATTCAGTTTGCATCTGTAAAACCCAAACTGACTCTTCTTGACCTTCTGCAAGCAGATTTCTTCTCTGACCCGCTGACAGCACACCGTGTTAACTTGTATTTCCCCGATCCTCTTTGACAGTTATGACTGCTGGAGCCATAAACTATCATGTGGTTGCCCTCGTAAAATTATTCCTAATATCTCCCAGCCATATTGGAGGGCCCATGCTGTAACAGCAGTATCCCCCAGCATTAGGGGCAAATTAGGATGTATAGTCTTGGATCGTGTTACGTAGGAACTCATAAACAAACCCTCGCTGCCCACCATGGAGTGGATATTTATCGAATTATAGTTGTGCACATATAAAAACCTCCCTGGCTTGTTATTGTAAGATATGTTGTGAGGGAAGCTGGTGTTGGAATCACTCAAGGGGAGAGAGAAGCGAATAATCGGCCAATGTGCTCACGGCTGTCGCGATCCCTGCAGTGGATGATTATATTTTTATAGCAATCTTGCGAATAAGTGCAACCGCTCATTATTATTGGATTACCATGCTGGGAGTTGGTAGCAAAATGCCTTGTTAGTTTTATTTCCTGTTGAGAAAGTTGAAAATTGTGCAAACACATAAAAGAAATCTTATTACGATGGGATTGATTTTGAAGCGATTCTGCCAATTTTTGTAAGGGTTTTTCCCTCTCCATTGCCTAACATTGTCAGATGTTTGAATAGTCATGAAATCCCATGAAGAACATCTGTCTGCAAAATAATGTTCCATCTTAATGATCTAATTTAAAAAAACACCCCGAAGAAGCAAGAAAATCAAAATGCATCCAGCTTGATGTGTCTTCTCATCATTAAGTCATCTTGGAGAGAAACTGTATGTTAGTAGAATACAGTGACATTTCATTAACTGGTACAGCAGTAACCTGATAAATCAGTCAAGAAGATGTTAACTTGAAGTGTAGCAGAGTGATTGTTTATTTGGGATTATTTGACCCAGTGAAACTAGACTTCAGACGAGTCAATATATCGGATTGGAACAAAGTGTTTGTCTATAGTTAGCTCACCTGGATCGAAGGTCCCAGCGAGTTGTTTGCCCATCGTCTGTACTGCGTCATCATTAAACATGTACCCCAAGACTACTGAATCAAAGAAACAGCTGTGACGTATCTACCCTAGATATCCATGCGATGATGACACCAATGTTTGTTATCAAAAGATCACTCAATTTGAGAAATTCTAACAGATTAGAAGGTTATCTTTATTCAAGGTGAATAAGACTGACCTACTGAGTATGGTTTTATGCCGTTTTTAGCAATATTCCAGCAACATCACGGCGGGGGACACCAGAAGTGGGCTTCACACGCGGTGAATAAGAAAATTGTAAAGTTGAAAGTAATGTTTCAGTACTGTGTGCGAGTCATAATTAATATTTGAACAAAGAAGTGAGTGAGTGAGTTTAGTTTTACGCCGCGTTTAGCAATATCCAACAATATCATGGCGGGGGACACCAGAAATGGGCTTCACACATTGTACCCATGTGGGGAATCGAACCCGGGTCCTCGGCGTGACGAGCGAACATCTTAACCACTAGGCTACCTCACCGCCCCGAACATAGAAGTAGTTACTTGATCAACTCTTAGAGCATGGGGTCAGGATTGGTGACTTGGTTGCTAGCTTGTTACAACACCCTGGCTTGTTGCTGACAATATCAGTCACTGGCTTGTTTGGTCCAGACTCGATTATTTTACAGACTTTACTAAGAAAGTGTTATCCCAAATATACCATATGTTACATTTGACCACTTTCTAAATGGCATTGTGCATTTCATAGCTTTCGGCCGTGGGAGCTGTGCCAATTAACACTTATCAGAGAGGTACACAAAGTCCGCAGTCTAGACTACCAGTTGTCCGACTTTCATTTTGTGGAAGCCGTGGTGGCTGAGTGGTCTAGGCATCTGACTTTGTGGGCTGGCGATTAGGTGCCTGACTCTGAGGGTGTGGGTTCGAATCCTGGATGGGACTCAACCCAACAAAAGTACTAGAATCTGTACTTTACTAAGAAAGTGTAATCCCAAATATAACATATTTTATATTTTACAGACTGCCATCATGTCGATTAGAAATTGCTGGATGTGGCTTCAAACAACAAACTATCATCAATTTGTGTTTGAATTATTATTACAGTTTGAGGATATGTCAAGGCACTGTTTACAGATGGCTCTGTCAACTGGTATGATCTTATATGGAGACCAGGGCCTAGATTTTCTAAGCTCTCTTAACGCTAAGAAAGTCGTAAGTTAATGTTAATGTATGGCACTTACGACTATCTTAGCCCTAAGAGAGCTTTGAAAATCTATGCCTAGGAACACAAGATGTAGTGTAAAGGTTGGGAATGTCAGTGGAAACTGATCTGTATTACATAGGGAAGATTTATTGGTGTCTTGTAATGCTGCCATATAATATCACCACCTACACATCATGTCTACAGAGACTCCAAGAATATGTTGTGACTTGCTGGAATTCCATCTATTTCTGGTGACAATTATTCAGCCTTTAAATTCTTTAAGGCAAGACTAATTTATTGTCCTGCTTGTAAAGATTTCCTTAGTCAATATGTCAAGAGACAGGCAGCAAAATGTCAAGATTGATTTGAGCTTACTTCACAAAATGAAAAGTCCAGAAATGAAATTTTAATTAAGCAAAAAGAAAAGTTGCACACAATATGACAAGGTTTTTCTTTAAATGTTAAAACTGTTGGTTCATCTAATCCTGAGCTGAGAATGTTGATTAGCTTGTCTTGATGATACACCTGGCAATGGGGCTTCCTAGATACTTGTTGTTTCCCTGCCTGTAGTTGGTTGCTCATGTTAATCTGCGGCATGATATCTCACTGGGCTAGAACTGTGCAACTGCCAAGACAGTTAGTACAGGCTGCAGACACACACATGGATTATGCACACACACACACACACACACACACACACACACACACGCACACATTTCTCTTTCTCTCTTCTCTTTTTTCTCTCTCCCATCTCTTTCTCTCTCTTTTCTCTCTCTCCCTCTTCTTTCTCTCTCTCTCTCTCTCTCTTTTTCTCTCTCACACACACACATACACACAAGTGTGTTGAAGAGTGTGTGGATGTCAAACTAGCTGATATATTTGTTATTCAGTGGCATTTCTCTTCAGCGTGGCACTCCATGTTTGCTTGTAAACTCTCGATTGATACAAGCCATTAGCCTAGTATAGGTACCTCTTGCAACAAATATATATTTATTACATCATCTCCAACATCTGTCATGTTCGTTGAGGAAAGCATTCTCAAATATTGTTTAATTTTGTGTGTATACATGTGTTTGTGTGTGTCTCTCTCTTTCCCTTCTCTCTCTTTCTTTCTCTCCCCTCTTTCTTTCTCTCTCTCTCAAGTGCTGAATGCATGCTCCCAAATATTGTTTCAATTTTAGTTTGTGTGTATTATTGGTACTTTGTGGGATATTATTTCTTTCAACCGCTGTATAATTATTGGCACTGTGGAAAACTTTTGTCTCCTCACTCACTTTCTCTATATCAGATAATTACCTTTGAATGCCATGAATGAAACTAGATAGCACATTGTCCCTCTTCAATTAATTTTATCTTGTTTTAACCTTTATTTTACAGACTTTGAAAAGTATAAGGAGTGTGGGTCCAGCTTCCAGTGTGAAAACACGTGGTGTATAGATGAGGACCTGGTTTGTGACGAAGTAGACCACTGTGGTGACTACTCCGATGAAGCTGCCGACGGCCGTGCCAAGTGTCAACAGGAAGGTAGGTTATCTCCCCTTTAAATACATACGTCTAACACAAAACCTGGCTTTGTGTAAGTTTCAACAGGGTGTTGCTAATATTTCCATCTTTACTTCAACACGAGACAGTGATTGCTGGATGTACATTTCAAAAAGAAAAGAAAGGTAGGTAAGTTTTCTCCCCATGAATTATTATAGTGACACAAGACATGGCTCTGTGTATGTTTCAAAACCAAACCAGCAGGAGAGTAGGTAGACTAACGCTTAGCCTCTGAATATATATAATTTTGATAGTAACAAACAAGCCCATTTAAATTGAAAGGAGCCCCAGGGAGACCAGAGATCCTGAACCTGAAGAAATCTTCACTTGCTTCATTTAGGTCTTTAGCATTGCAGAGAGGGCTAGGCAGTAGGGAAAATAATGTGGTTCAGGGACTGTGAGACAGACTAGAGAGTAGGTTATGGGCTTGTCTTATATTATCAGAGGGGTAATTGAGGGTGGGTCCACAGAAAGTATGACAGTCTGTAGGGCAGGGTAATTAAAAACATATGCATATTTTCTGAAGAAAATATAAAAGAACATTTTGTAATAAACATTTATAATGTAGAAGGACATTGGAAGGGTCAAAGAAAAATATGACAAGCATGAAGCGAGTGTCTTTATTTTTTGTACAATTCTGCATCAAACTTTCACATCTGCCATCTGTAACAAATGACTAATCCCTTGTGACACTAGTATATCTATTCTTGTGTGGGGCGGTGGGGTAGCCTAGTGGTTAAAGCGTTCGCTCGTCACGCCAAAGACCCTGGTTCGATTCCCCATATGGGAACAATGTGTGAAGCCCATTTCTGGTGTCCCCCGCCGTGATATTGCTGGAATATTGCTAAAAGTGGCATAAAACTAAATTCACTCACTCACTCACTATCCTTGTGCAAGACGAATCTTTGTCCTTGTCCTTGTTTCGCAACAAGTCGTGTCACATGAACTGAGTCATAAGATGGGTTGCTGGAAACTGTAACAAAAGATATGACATTATGTTCACATCTTTCAAATTTTTAAAAATGTTTGCTTCAGTAGGATATAAAACATAGTTGCATAGTTTTGTCGCCAAATCAATGACACAATACAGAATATGGATGTATATTGAAAAAAATAAGTTTTTCCTTGAAGCCTGGAAGAGCCCTCAAAACATGGATCACACGCCATGGAAAAAGCCTTGACTATAGAACCCATGTTTAACTCTGCTGCTAACTTAATTGTTTCATATATTTTTTCTCTATAAATGCGCGATAACATCATGGGCAAAAGCCATTTGATAAATAACATTGATGTGTGGACAAGAATATTAAACAGTGATATTGGGACCATACAGTAACAATGAAATGAAGTGAAAATGTCTCAATGTTCTTGCCATATATGAGATATGAAAATGTTTGGTAGTTTTCAAGAAAATCTGCAAAATTCAGACGTGTATAATAACCTTCAACTTAAATGGATCTATAAAAACTCAAATGAAAAACTGTGGTTTAAGAGAATGCCTGTGGGTTGACTTCTTGAAGCCCCACTTATATTATCACTGGCAGACAATCACAAGTTTTTTCCAAAACCGTGCCAGAATTTCACCTCGACCACATTCTACTCCAAAATTGGGGAAGTCTTTTAGACAGATTATGTTGTCATTCAGTACTAGATGTTCTTGTGACCTTGTGAGGACTGAAGGTCATCCACCATCCCTTCTGGCAGTCTTGTTTGAGATGTACCAAGTGTGACCACATTCTGGAAGGTGCAGGAGACACCGATAATAATGTGACTGAAAAAGTGAACCAGTCTGCTATCTTGAAAATATGTCTAAAATGTTGTGACTTCAAACATATATATTATGTCAGGAACTGCGGAAGGCATGACTTGTATTAGAGATATGGGTACGTCATCCGTTTGGACTGTGGGATAAGATAAGATTTATTCCATTAACATTCCATTTTGGAACAGTTGCACCATCACATTGATGGAAAGTTGAAAAACAGTACAATAGTGAACAGATAACAGAGGACAGTGGGACTTGAGTACTAGAATACGATGTTGTTGTCTCAGTTGGTTTGAGCTTGTTTGCTGACTGCCATTTTACGATGTTGTTGTCTCAGTTTGTTTGAGCTCCATGATTGCAATGCAACTTGTGACTGGTCTATAGCAAGTTATTCTCCATTTGTGTTTGTTCCGTGACAAGGTGGGCACAGTTTGTGTCTGATCCGAGACAGGTTGGGCACAGTTTGTGTCTGATCCGAGACAGGTTGGGCACAGTTTGTGTCTGATCTGAGACAGGTTGGGCACAGTTTGTGTCTGATCCGAGACAGCTAGGGCACAGTTTGTGTCTGATCTGAGACAGATTGGGCACATTTTGTGTCTGATCCGAGACAGTTTGGGCACAGTTTGTGTCTGATCCGAGACAGCTAGGGCACAGTTTGTGTCTGATCTGAGACAGATTGGGCACATTTTGTGTTTGATCCGAGACAGTTTGGGCACAGTTTGTCTCTGATCAGCAGGGCACAGTTTGTGTCTTGGCCATGATAAGTTGGGCTCACCTTTTGTCCCAGACAAGTTTGTGTCTGATAGTTGGTCCAAGACAAATAATTATGTTCCATACAATAAAAGGTCCCCCAACTTCACGTACCTGATAAAAGAACATGTCATACGTTATTTCTTAAGAGCAAAAGAAGCTGCAGGTTCGTTAACGTCATTCATTTATATTGGAGCAGATCTGTATCTGCAATGATTTAGGTCCTTAGGATTCTGGAGACATATTTGACAGCAGGACTGGCACCTCAGTTTCCGTTTTAGCAGATCTGTAAGTTGAGACCAGTACTGGAGCAGGAGCCCCGTAAGCTGAGACCAGAACTGGAGCAGCAACTCTGGTTGGTTTCCTCCAAATGATCCTTGTGTCAGCCTGTCTTCGTGGAGGGTATTCTCCCTCCATCACGGTCGCAGCTCGAGCCGTTGACACTTGCACATCAAACGTTTGTGTTAAGTTTCAACAGCATTTTTTATAAAGTCTTAACTGTTGAAGTTTCTTCAGTGAAGATACTTGTTTTTGCAATGCCACGTTCTGCATCTGCTGAAAATCTCTGTCGCTGGTGATCTCTCTGACAGAGTACATTTGTAGTTATTCATATCTTGCCTTCCACTGTCTGTCACACCAATTATGCAACAAAAAAAGCGACTAGATCACGTTTCTTTACTAAACTCTGCCTTCAATTACATCAATTATTGATTTCGTGTGCATCAGGGGTGAAAATTGACGCTGACTTTTTGACATTGTACTACTCATGAAAACATTCTCTCAGCTGAATCTGAGTTTAAGGTCTTTAAAAACATGTCATCTGAGTTGAAAGTTGGCTGGTTTTGAAACAATGTACCTATAAATCATTCTGGGCTGTTCAATTAGAGAATTTCTGGCTTCTATTTTCTTGCACTGTACGAACTTTCTGCTGCCTGTTCCTGACTCTCCAACTGCCATGCAGACACGGTGCATGTACACCTATCTTGTAATTGCCGTCTAATTACCAACATTCTTTAAACAATACTTCCTGTCGATGCCAGACTCTGACCTCCACCACCAGGGGGCAGGCCGTTAAGGCGGCCATATTGCCGCCAAGGTAGATCATGGAACTGCCAAATGTAGAACCTTGATAATCAGGCTTGATGAGACCATGTTTGAAGTGAGATTAAAACAGAGGGAGCAATCTCGTTATGGTCCCCTATGCTGAATGCCTGCTCGGTGGTTTATCAGGCAATTATGCCTGGGCACATAAGTCAGTGCATTAAGGACCAATTAGTGACTGTTGGTTTTGGCTAACCGGCAGAAGTCATTCATCTTGGCTGGGTCCAGAGAGGGGTTCTGCTGACCACTATGGGGCCATAGACGCCACTGGCAGATGTCATTCTTCAAGACAACCATTGGTAGACGTGTCGGCCATATTTACAGTAGTGGTATTGATCTATGAAATGCATGTACCCATATTCCAAGGTTGTTCTGCTGAAAGTTTGCCAGTATTATTGTCTTCTATGGGAGTCGGGTGTCGTTGCATCAATTTGTGGAACCGCATAATGAGAAATCAGATACTTCTATGTTTTTTTACATGTAATACTGTCAGAAAATGGGTTGCCAGTGTCTTTGTTCTCTGTTCACAGAAGGTGGCTGGTGCTTGTTGTAACATTGCAGCTATGGCCAATAGCTTCTTTTATTAACTGTATCATTGATGATACAAGATACTTGTGTTTCTGCAGTCAGCCGTGGCGTTGTCCATGACACTGAGGAACATGCAGCAGTGATCGGCCACTTCTTGCTGTAGGTTTCTCCAGCTTCTGCGACTAGAGTGAACTGAGGTTTCGCCTGGCTTGTCATACTCTTGGATCTCTGTCTTGTTCATTTTGTCCTGGTGTGCATGAAACAAAGACATCCATCATGATTCATAAAAAGGATAATTGCATTTTATCTAAAACAGAGTTTCTGATTTGTAGAAATCACAGCTTGTATGGCGTCACAAAGAACTGACAGTGGTTCACAAGTGACCAGGCAGGCTGATCACACAGTGTCATGACTAACCTGATACCCTGATCACACAGTGTCATGACTAACCTGATACCCTGATCACACAGTGTCATGACTAACCCAATACTCTGATCACACAGTGTCATGACTAACCTGATACCCTGATCACACAGTGTCATGACTAACCTGATACCCTGATCACACAGTGTCATGACTAACCTGAATACTCTGATCACACAGTGTCATGACTAACCTGATACCCTGATCACACAGTGTCATGACTAACCCGATACTCTGATCACACAGTGTCATGACTAACCTGATACCCTGATCACACAGTGTCATGACTAACCTGATACCCTGATCACACAGTGTCATGACTAACCTGATACCCTGATCACACAGTGTCATGACTAACCCAATACCCTGATCACACAGTGTCATGACTAACCCGATACCCTGATCACACAGTGTC